TCATCTTGACTTTTTTAATTGTGCATTGAGAGGGGTGACAAACGCAGAGTCCGTTCCGGGTGGCATAATCTCTAGCTACGCCACTGCATGGATCCCAGGGAGCGACCGGGCTTGAGGCTGGCCAATCTTTACAATGTAATTTGCAGAAAAAGTAATGATTGTCCAGGCACTCAAGGTAAAGCTAGTAAGAAGATTTATTGAAGCAGATGAAAATAAATGTCTCAGCCCACAACAGGGCCTTTGTCAAACCCTGCTGTGTTGCAGGTGAAAAGCAATGTTTTGCCCCACAACAGGGCCTTGTCAAGCTTGACAAAGGCCCTGTTGGGAGCCAAAACATTGCTTTTCATCTGCTTCAATAAATCTGCTCATTGGATTTACTTGAGTGCCTTGACCATCATTACTTTTTGGCTTTGACCATCTATAACTTGCCTTGCATGGGTGAACTAAAACAAACTGAAAAAAACAAGTCGCAGATGAAATCTCCTTAAAGCGACATACATATATAACAATTTAATGTAGCAAGTAACCTGCAACAAGGAATAAATTAAGCTGATGGATATATATTATACAGGAGATGAATGAAGGCAGAGTTCCACAGTAAGGGACAAAGCAGTATTCCTATAATGGCACAAAAGTAAATGAGAAGCTGGACTGGTCCAGTCTAAAAAGTACTTACTACTTTGTAGCAGGACGAAACATAGAAATGCAAGAGTATAATAATAAATTTTGAAATGAAGAGGCTCAATCACCCAGGGTAGCCACTATCCTACATGCTCTCCTAACTGTATTTTGTTAGCTGGAACACAGTAATTCAACAAGAACTATTGAAAGGTCACACTAATGCATTGCTATGAGCCATTGTTTTATTTCCCCCCCCATCTTTTGGGCATCAAAACCTGATTTGGGTGGCTAGTGGCACAAGATTAGGGCTTATGAGGCAATCTGGGTCATATGACCAAAAAACAAAAATCGGATAAGCCTTAGATGGGTGTTTATATCGGAGACCTCACGCGTCAGGCACAAACCGGCTCAAGATGGCCGTCTATCATAGTTACATAGTTACATAGCTGAAAAGAGACTTGCGTCCATCAAGTTCAGCCTTCCTCACATTTGCTTTTTGCTGTTGATCCAAAAGAAGGCAAAAAAAACCCAGTTTGAAGCACAATTTTGCAACAAGCTAGGAAAAAAATTCCTTCTTGACCCCAGAATGGCAGTCAGATTTATCCTTGGATCAAGCAGTTATTACCCTACATTGAAAGATTATATCCTTGAATATTCTGTTCTTGCAAGTATGCATCTAGTAGCCGTTTGAACATCTGTATGGACTCTGATAAAACCACTTCCTCAGTTAGAGAATTCCACATCCTGATTGTTCTTACAGTAAAAAAACCTTTCCTTTGCCTTAGGCGAAATCTTCTTTCTTCCAGTCTAAACGCATGGCCTCGTGTCCTATGTAAAGTCCGGTTTGTGAATAGATTTCCACACAATGGTTTGTATTGGCCCCTAATATATTTGTATAATGTTATCATATCCCCTCTCAGGCGACGTTTTTCTAAACTAAATAGGTTTAAATTTGTTAACCTTTCTTCATAGCCCATATGTTCCATTCCTTTTATTAATTTTGTAGCCCGCCTCTGCACTTTTTCTAGTGCCATAATATCCTTCTTTAGAACAGGTGCCCAAAATTGCACAGCATATTCAATATAGGGTCTTACCAGTGATTTATAAAGAGGCAAAATTATATTCTTGTCCCGAGAATGAATGCCCTTTTTCATGCATGACAATACCTTACTGGCCTTGGCCACTGCTGATTGACATTGCACATTGTTGCATAGTTTGTTGTCTATAACAATTCCCAAGTCCTTTTCATTGTGTTGTTATCCCTAATTAGCTTCCATTAAGGGTATACGTTGCTTGTGTATTCTTTACGCGAAGTGCATAACTTTGCATTTTCAACATTAAATTTCATCTGCCATTTGAGTGCCCAGTCTCCCAGTCTATCTAAATCCCTCTGCAGCAAAGTATATCTTGCTCACATTGTATTGTTTTACAAAGTTTGTGTCATCTGCAAACACTGAAACATGACTTTCAATGCGGTCTTCAAGATCATTTATAAACATGTTAAATAGAAGGGGTCCCAGAACAGACCCCTGAGGGACACCACTTGCCACCTCTGTCCAGCTTGAAAATTTACCATTAATGACAACTCTTTGTACTCTGTTTTTAAGCCAATGTTCTACCCAAGAACAAGCATTTTCATCTAGACCGATTTCCTTGAGTTTGAACACTAATCTATTGTGTGGAACTGTATCAAATGCCTTGGCAAAATCCAAATAGATCACATCCACTGCAACACCCTGATCTATACTTCTACTTACTTCTTCGTAGAACGCAATCAAGTTAGTTTGACATGACCGGTGCTTCATAAAACCATGCTGATTTTTGCTGATAACCATGTTCTTCTCAAGGAATTCTTGAATATTATCCCATAATAACCTTTCAAATATTTTACCAGCCACAGAAGTTAAGCTCACAGGTCTATAATTTCCAGGCAAGGATTTTGAACCCTTTTTTGAATATAGGAACCACATCTGCCTTCCTCCAATCCTCCGGAACACTTCCTGAAAGAAAAGAATCTTGAAAGATTAAAAACAGAGGTTCACTTATTTCTGCACTTAGTTCCCTAAGTACACGTGGATGGATACCGTCAGGCCCTGGAGCTTTGTTTATATTAACTTTCTTTAGTTGCTGCAGCACCTTGTCTTGAGTTAACCAATTACAATTATTCTGCAAGTTTTTAGTAGCAATCATTTGCACATCTATTGCCATGGGTTCTTCCTTAATATATGCGGAGGAGAAATAGTTATTTAAAATTCCTGCCTTTTCCTGGTCTTCATTAATTAACACCCCTGTTTCAGTTTTTAGTGTACCTACACTTTCATTTTGGATTTTTTTTAGAATTTATGTACTTAAAAATGCTTTGGGGTTGGTTTTGCTCTCTTCAGCTATCATTATTTCATTTTGAAGTTTAGCAAGTCTAATTGCCTTTTTGCACGCATTATTTGCATCCTTATATGCATCTGATTTGTCCGATTTAAATGCTTTAAATGCCCTTCTCTTAGTTGTAATCTCTTGTTTTACTTCTCTACTAAGCCACATTGGTTTTAATTTGTTTATTTTATATTTATTTCCCAATGGTACATACTGAGAAATGTACCTTTCTAATATTTGTTGGAAGATGATCCATTTATCCTCGGTGTTCTTTTCACTAAAGAGTTTATGCCAGTCAATATATTGTAAAGCTTCCCTTAACTTATTGAAATTGGCCTTTTTAAAATTATATGTTTTAGTATTCCCCATGTGCTTTTGTTTTGAGTTTATTTCAAAGGACACTATATTGTGATCACTATTTCCCAAGTGCTCACCTACTTGAATGTTGGTCAAAAGATCAACGTTTTTTGTTAAAACCAGGTCCAGACAAGCGTCCATTCTAGTTGGTGCTTGTACAAGTTGTGACATGAAGGTGTCATTTAACAAGTTTAAAAACCTAATTTCCTTTGCTGAGGCACTAGTCCCTCTGTCCCAATTTATATCCGGGTAATTAAAATCTCCAATAATTAAAGTGTTACCCAGATTTGCAGCTTTCTCAATTTGCTCAAACAGCTGTTGTTCCTCGTCAATATTAACATTAGGTGGTTTATAACATATCCCAACCAATAGTTGGTTTCCCTTCTTTTCCCCAAGCAGATATTTACCCATAAAGCTTCCACATTATCCTCCTCGCATTCCATTTGCTTAACATTTGGCTTTAAATCATGTTTGACATACAAACATACCCCACCACCCTTCTTGTTTTTCCTATCCTTCTAAATAACATGTACCCATTTAAGTTAGCTGCCCAGTCATGTGTCTCATTCCACCATGTTTCAGTTATGCCTATTATATCATATTGTTTAGTGTATGCTAATGCCTCTAGTTCCCCCATTTTGTTATTTAGGCTCCTTGCATTAGTAAGCATACATTTAATATTATGCGCCACTTGTATATTTTGTGAATTTTCAACATTACACAGCTTCTCTGTTCTAAGCTTGCCCCTCCCCCCGTTTCCACCCCCCTTATACTGTGCTAAAGCCCATCTCCTTTCTGTCCTATCTCCATTTTGTAGATTGCTATGACCCTCCCCCCCTACTACTAGTTTAAAATCTCCTCCAACCTTCTAGCCATCCTATCCCCAGCACTGCAGACCCTCTCCCGTTTAGGTGCAATCCATCACCACTATAAAGGTTGTACCCAATCGCAAAGTCGGCCCAGTGCTCTAAAAACCCAAAACCCTCCTTCCTGCACCAAGACTTAAGCCACGCATTGACCTCTCTAATCTCCCGCTGCCTTTCCACTGTAGCGCGTGGCGCAGGTAATATCTCAGAGAATACCACCTTGGAGGTCCTTTTCTTAAGTTTGCTACCTAATTCCCTGAAATCATTCTTTAGGACCTTCCATCTTCCTCTTACTTTGTCATTGGTACCAACATGGACCATGACCGCTGGGTCATCCCAGGCCCCTCACAATAATCCATCCACTCTGTCAGCAACATGCCGGACCCGAGCACCCGGGAGACAGCAAACTGTCCGGTTGAGCCGATCAGAGCGGCAGATTGCCCTATCTGCTCTCCTAATGATAGAGTCCCCTACCACCACAACCTGTCTTGCCTTCCTTACATTTTGATCCCCACCCGTACTAGGGGGGCTTTTAGCTCGGCTGTTAGAAGTAACAGCTTCCTCTAATCCAGCTACTCCTGAGCTGATGCTCCCAACATCTTCCCTCAAACGGGCAAATATGCTAGGTTGCACCAAATCAGGACTAGCTAGCCCTTTCCTCTTCCCTCCCCCCCTGCTTCCTCGCCCCACTGTCACCCAGCTACATGCCTGTTCCCCATCTGTCTTATCTCCTCCCTCTCCGCTACCTGTCCCCACTAAACTCTGCTCAGTGAGCAGTAGACTCCTCTCAAGATTATCAATCTCCCTCAATGTTGCGATTTGCTTCTCAAGATCTCCAATCTGAGCTTCCAGAGAAGCCACTCGCACACAACCATCACAGAGGTATGGACCCTGGATGGGTACATCCAGGCATCCATACATGCAACAAGATGTGCATTGAGTTAAACCAGCAATCTTGCTAACACTCATTTCCCCTTTAAACAGTAAAATAAAAACAGTTACCTTGATAGTTTAAACCCCTTGTTTGTTTCAACTACTGGTTTTCTAACTCCTACTTGAAAGAGTCTACTTAATAGAGGCTGCTTTCAAATAATGTGA